GTTGTAATCTAGCCATCTGACAAAGGTCTAATATCCACAAAGAAACAAATTTACAACAGAAAAGCAAACAATCCCATCAAAAAGTGGGCAAAGTATATAAACAGACACTTCTCAAAAGAAGATATTTATGCAGCCAACAAACATGAAAAAATGCTCATCATCACTGGTTATTAGAGAAATGCAAATCAAAACGACAATGAGATACCATCTCACGCCAGTTAGAATGGCGATCATTAAAAAGTCAGGAAACAACAGATGCTGGAGAGGATGTGGAGAAATAGCAATGCTTTTACACTGTTGATGCAAGTGTAAATTAGTTCAGCCATTGTGGAAGACAGTGTGACGATTCCTCAAGGATCTAGAACCAGAAATACCATTTGACCCAGCAATCCCATTACTGGGTATATACCCAAAGAATTATAAATCATTCTACTATAAAGACACATGCACACGTATGTTTATTGTGGCACTATTCCCAACAGCAAAGACTTGGAACAAACCCAAATGTCCATCAATGATAGACTGGATAAAGAAAATGTGGCACATATACACCATGGAATATTATGAAGCCATAAAAAAGGATGAGTTCATGTCCTTTGCTGGGACATGGATGAAGCTGGAAACATCATTCTTAGCAAACTATCACAAGAACAGAAAACCAAACACTGCATGTTCTCACTCATAAGTGGGAGCTGAACAAGGTGAACACGTGGACACAGGGAGGGGAACATCACACACTGGGGCCTGTTGAGGCGTGGGGGACTAAGGGAGGGATAACATTAGCAGAAATACCTAATGTAGGTGACTGGTTAATGGGTGCAGCATACCACCATGGCACATGTATACCTATGTAACAAAACTGCACGTTCTGCACATGTACCCCAGAACTTAAAGTATAATAATAAAAAAGAAATGTTATTTCTACATACTACCAACGAAAAATCAGAAACTGAAAGTAAAAGAATAATACCACTTACAGTAGTATCAAAAATTTCAATACACAGGCATAAATCTAACAAAAGATGTGCAAAACCTAAACATTAAAAACTACAAAGTATAGCTGAGAAAATTTAAAGAGATACATCAATGAGGTAAAAAAGAACCAATGTTACTTTAAAACATACTATAAAGCTGATATAATTAAGACAGTGGGGTATTGGTGTCCAGATAAGACAAATAAATCAGTGGAAAAGAATAGAGTTCATAAATAGATACATACATATATAAACAACTGCAAAGGAGCAAAAGTAATTCAATGGAGAAAGGGTAGTTTTTCCAATTGGGCATCCAATGCAAAAAAGTGGCCTGGATCCTTACCTCATGCCTTGTATAAAATTTAACTCTATGAACCATAGATGTAAATGTAAAACCTAAAACTATAAAACTCCTAGAAGAAAACATAGAAGAAATCTTTGCAATCTTGGGTTAGGCAATGATTTCTTACATGACACCAAAAGCACAATTCATAAAAGAAAAAATTGACGAATTATTTCATCAAAATTAAAAATGTTTGGGTCCAACACTGTTAAGAGAATGAAAAGAAAAAAATGAGTCCATTACCACTCTGCCAGTGAGTCTCACACCCCACTAATGAATGAATTCTTAGTTCCTTAGATTGATAATACAAGTACCTCTTTGAACAGGTTCCTAAAAACTAACTGATCTTTCCCAGACAGAGGTGGAAGAACAGTACACAGCAAATATGCTACAAGCTTACTCTACTAGTAGCCTGGTTGAGTGTGGAGCTGCCTGTTGTTATGATATGTAAAGCTGAAATAGTAATTATCAGAGGAAATGTCATGTGGGGTTGCCAGTTGAGAAGTACCAAAACAAATGGTCTTGACCTAGGCTCCCAAATTCAAAAGGAACAAAGAGACCATCGAGATCAACAGAAATCAGTGTAGAAAAAGTCAGAGGCAGGTGGAAAGAAGACCATCTATCTTTATCTGGGCTGGTATTTGGGTGGGTCACTTAACGGAATAATCCACCACCTTCAGATGGCATGCAAAATCCAGTTAAAGAAAAAAGCAGAGCAACGCAGACACTCAACTCTCATTCTTATCTCTTCATGCATACGCTACCATTCTAGGCTCCGATTCCCTGAATAAAACCAGTTATTTTAAGCCTTTGAACCATTCCTTCTTCTGCTCCTTCTGCTTGAGATTTCCTTCTTGCACTCCACTTGTCTTCTGTGGAACTATTAAATACCACTCATTTTTCAAAAAATGTTACTATGCTTCAGTTGTCTTATTTGTTTCCCCCTGGTATTTGGATCTCAGTTTTATCTAAGAATTCTGGCTGGATCATTCTTATGAAATTAATAGTTTCTCACTGCTTCAAGTACTCTCCTGACTCTAGCCAAACTCCTCATCAACCAACTCCTGTCCCACACCACTCTTATGGTGGCCAGTTAGCTGTTCTTATGGGATGGGGATATTCTCACTACAAACCTAAGAAATAATGCTAATGTTATTGTGTCATTACAGTGTCATTAATTATTTTAGATAACATATACCATGCACTTAAAATGTGCCAGACACTATGCTCACTGCTTTTTCATCATCTCATTTAAGTCTCACAACTTCAAGAGGATTCTTGTGTTCTTATACTCATTACACAAATGAGAAAACTGAGGTGCAGAAAAGCTAGGAAACTTGCTCGAGGTCACAGACCTGGAAAGAGGTAGGCTCTGAGCCCAGGCAGACTAAATCTAGAGGCTAACTGAGTTCTTAACCACTGGTCTATAATGCTGCCAAAATGGGACTTACTACCTTTTTCCTAACTTCCCTGTTGCTCAAGTAAAAACGAAGGGTCCTCTACCTCTTTCCTTCAAATCCCCTGATCCCCAATCTCCCTGTGCCCAACTTAGTTTACTTCTTATCTGAATGATGACAGTAGTCAACTAACTGCACTCTGCTATAATGCACATTCCCCATAAAAATCAGACCGGGCCTTCTAAATTACAATTTGATCATGCCACTCTCAACTGAATTCCTATAACCCATGCAGTGGTCCAAACTCCTTAGCACAGAGAAGACAGGGCCCTTCACCATCCAGCCCTTTCTACTCCTTCGACTGCACTTGCCATTTCCCTATATCAATATTCCAATTCAATTTACATCAATATTACATTCAAACCAGCCTTATTGCAAATCTTTAACAAAGCATATTCCTAATGCCCTCAGTGTCGCAAATATTGTTCTATTTGGGATACCTAGAGTTTTTATATACTAAATTCATATTGGTATTGCACGTTTCAGCCTAATAGCACCTTCCTTGAACATATTTTAATAATAATCGTGTAACAGTTAATATTTAACTATTACATAACAATAAATTAACAATGTATCAGATACTATTCTAAATCCTTTACACATTTTAATATTCATTTAATCATTGCAACAATCCCTGAGACTGTGGCAAAAGAGCCAGCAGTTGCTGCCACTTCAATATACTTTGGAATACATTTCCCTCTCCACATTAAATTCTTAAGGTAAAAAACTGTCCTGTTTATCTTTGCAGCAGCTGTTCTTCTATAGTGTCTGGTACATAATAGAAACAGGAGTTCAATAAACATCTTTTTAATAAATGGCCAGAGAGCTGGGCCCCTAGGTTTTAAATGCACACTTGGAAACTCTTCCTGGCCATTAGCCTTCTAATCTTCAGAGCACGAGAGGAGCATAACAAACATGTTTAGCGTCTAGCAGAATTCTGTGTAAGCCACAAGTACCACCATACGGTTCTGCTTAAATATACACATATCCTCACGTATACCATCAAGCTTTTTTTTTTTTTCCCTGCAACTAACTTCTTTAAATTTTTACAAATTTAAATGTACCCAACCAGCATTCAAAAAAGATTTGTCGGTCAACGACGACGATATTAAACATTGTATGTGAATATGAAGTCTCAAAAAAACATGGAGCTTACTTTGCTCTCTCAGAAAGTCGATTTCTGTAGCCATTTCGATACAATTTTAGTTTGGAGTTTTCATCACCTTTACCTTCCTCTGAAAGACACAGAGCTTGCTGTGCGGGAAAACAAAACTAAGCCAACACTCGGTTGGTTGTCAAGCGCTCCAGCGGTGCAATCTGCATCCTACTCACGCGGCATCTACAGCCCCGCCACGCTTCCTTCCCCCGCGCCCCAGACGAGTTCCAGGCCCTGGAGAGAGACTGAAGATTGCTGGGGGCGCGCCAGGTGAATTCTGTTCCACGTTCAACCGAATCCCACCCTGGTGGGAAGAGGACTTGCTCGATACAGGCGTCCCGCGGGTCACTCTGGGTCTCGTCGGGCCACCTAGGAGAGTGCCGCGGGAGCTGGAGGGCAGCCTGAGAGCGGCGTTCTACGCGGAGCGGCGTGGGTTGGTGAAGACGACGCCAACACGGCTGGGAAGCCCCAGGCCAGCAGCGGAAGTCCACTCGGCCCGCCCTGCGACTTTGAAACCGGTGCCCCGAACCACTCCTTGGAGACGGTGACGCCGCTTGCGTCATCACGCGGGCGTTGGCGCTTACGCCATCGCGCGTCCTAGAGTCCTAGCACGCTATTGGCTGGCTGTCAAGCAATAGGAGGAGTCGTGAGAACCTGGGTGACAGCTGAGCCACCGGCTTGGCGCGGCGGGCAAACTGGTGGGACAGTGTCTCCAGGTGGTGGGGCCCAACCTCTTTTTTTTTAAACCCAAAATGCAAACGTGAGTAGGGCATGAAATACACAGTTTAAATGCCCTCACTGTCTTTGGGTTACTAATATACTAAGCCTTTCTGGACTAAGTAAAGGATGCAGGTTCATGCGGCTAGGGGTAGAAGCCAGACTTGGGTCTTCAGAATCTCCCACCAAGGCTGTACCTCTGGAGGAGTTCTGTGTTTCGATTTGGTCATCTCAAGAAGGTAAGTACCATCCTGCCAAAGGAGACAACTGTTGTTTAAATATTTAACTGTGTAGTAATAAAGCATGTAGTTAGAAGTATTCAAAAGATCTTGCAAATTCAGCAGCTATTTCTTCAAAGATAAGCTTTTTTCCTCAAATATAAGGAAAGATAAAAGGTACCTTTTTTTTTTTTGCAAAAAACAAAACGGTAAAACTTACATTTGTGGATAGATTATAATTTTCATTTTTGAAAATTGATTTTGTCTGGATTTAAAACGTATGGTTTTTTTTTAAATTATTTAACATTGGAGGAAATCTCACCACTAGCAACAAATATGTTAATTTGAAGCTAGCCACTAGTTTTGCGCTTTTAATAAATTGTATTTTTATGGATTGAAGTAAAGTTTCACTAAACAGGCATGTCATAGATGCAGCTTGATTTGGCTTTCTGTTTAACAGCTTAAGAGTTTTGTTGTCCTGTACTCATAATGTCATATAAAGTAACCTTAGCGATATGTGTTAAGAAATTTTTAAAAATGTATTCGAATATGTGCAGTTAGGCATCTGAAGTCCTGACTCAATACTCGCTGTTAATAGAATGAGATGGTCCCTTCCTCTAAAGACTAGCTGTTAAATATGGATGTGTAGCTTAATAATCATTGAAAAGGTCTAATCTAGCTTTGGGTCGTGGATAATTGAACTTGTTCTGATTTTTAGTAGCTATAATGTTTACAGGAAAACTTTTTACATAAAGGGAAAATTGAGTGTGCAAGCTCCAACTCGTTTATGGAGTTCAGTATATGACTCTTTCTTCATAAACATCTCACTGACTCTCCGAGGACTTGCTTGTAACTTCTCCCACATTTGAACCTTGTATATTGTCATATTGTATTTCTACTTGGCATCAAATAAATAATTATAGACTTAACTCTATGCTTACACCCAAACTGGATGGAAGCAAATACCTTCTGGCTATAATGATGAGTGGTAGTTACATAAAGTGAGTATCTCAGGTGAAAATTTTTGTGTCTGCACTCGATTTTTTTTAGCTTACATGATCATAATTATGATCGTGATAGTTTTTTGTTTTTGTGTTTGTGGTTACAAGATTTTAGTAGATGAATTTTAATGGAGTATTTTCAACGTAAGTTTCATCATTAGGAAACAAAATTGTTTTCACTTATCCTTAAAAGATCCCCTCTCGTGTTTCTCCTTTTCACACGTCCTGAGTTCTCTATCCACTTCTCCCAAGGTAGGTGCCACCTTAGTACTTATTTCATGCTCCTTCCTGCATTATCTATCATGTTTTGTAGTTTGTCTCCAGGCTCCATCATAATACCTGGAACACAGAATTGATTAAATATCTGATAGAAGGAATGAAAGAATTCAGTAGATGTTCCTGGAAAGTATCTATTAGTATAAATTGAATACAAGGAATGACAAGTGGATATGTACGTACTCATAGATAATTGTATAGATTGAAAATTAGTGACTTTCACTAACATTAATTCGGTTGATCAATTGACATTGAGCACCCAGTACTATGTGCAAAATACCATGAAGAATACAAAGTTAGAAGTTTAAGCAAGGGTCAGAATAGATCACACAGCTGGCAAGTGCCTGAGTTGCGATTTGAACTCAGGCAGGATGGTTCTAATTTCACAACTGTTAACCGCCATGAACATGCCTCCCCAGGAGTATAGTATAATCTAATTTATAGCTGGTATAATATAATTTATAGTTTTTGCTTATATAGCCAGTTAGCCTGTAGTTGTATTAAATGAATTATTTCTGTACATGTTCTGTTGTAATCTTAATGCTTTACAGTTGATTTTCAAATTATTGCACGGTATTTTTATTTCGAATCACCCTTCCTTCTTCTAGGAAACCACTCAAACTTTAGTGGAACGATTAGAAGTCTTCAGATGTTCACCTGTGGCCCTTCAACATTTTTCTTTCCTGGAAAAATCAAGTGTCTCTGCTTCAGTGTTCCAAGCGCCTCCCCCAGAACGTGTAGGAAGCTGGGTGGAGCCTAAAGCCGAGCCCTCTGCGTTGACCTCGGCTAAGAGGGGGAAGCCAGTGTTTTGAGAAAAGCTTCGTGGTCTGTGTTCTTTTGTTATTCTCTCTTCTCTCTGACATTCCTTTCGCCGTCGCCAGGTCTTGTCTTTCGCTTGATCTCTGGAAAACAATGAAAAGTATTTTACTTTTCAGTTGTCTCCTGCTAATTGAGCGTACTCCCACTGTCAGGCTGACTTCCTCGTTTCTTCGTTTCTCTGATAAATGGGCGGGGCCTCGGGGCGGTATGGAAACTGAAAAGAAATCATTATTGTAGAAAAACTAAAAGAAATTTTGTTGAGCAGAGGAAGTTGGAAATTTTCCTTGCGGATCATTTGGTTGAGAAAACACCTTTACCATAATTTATTTCTTCTAAACTTTGTGGACCTTTTTTTTTCTTTTCCCGGGTTCTTAATGCTCCAGTGTTTGGTCTCCTTTCTCTTCCTTCGTTTCCTTTTAGAGGTCTTTCCAGGTAAAGAGAAAGCAATCAGAATAATTGAAAATTTATTTTTTTGACTTGTTTTAAGAGCAATTTGAAGAATAGGGGTTAAAAGTAGAAACATACAGATTAACAATAAACATTGTATTATGAAAGTCTAAACGGGCAGGGCGCGGTGGCTCAAGCCTGTAATCCCAGCACTTTGGGAGGCCGAGACGGGCGGATCACAAGGTAAGGAGATCGAGACCATCCTGGCTAACCCGGTGAAACCCGTCTCTACTAAAAAATACAAAAAACTAGCCGGGCGAGGTGGTGGGCGCCTGTAGTCCCAGCTACTCGGGAGGCTGAGGCAGGAGAACGGCGTAAACCCGGGAGGCGGAGCTTGCAGCGAGCTGAGATCCGGCCACTGCACTGCAGCCTGGGCAACAAAGCAAGACTCCGTCTCAAAAAAAAAAAAAAAAAAAAAAGTCTAAACAGCCAAACTTGAATTGCAGGACAGTAATCATCTTGATAATATGCATTATGACTTTTCGGAAACGTTCAGCATATATAATATAAAGGGGAGAAGAGGCAGCTGCCATACTCTTAGGAGACCAGCCTTATTTTATTTATTTATTTATTTATTTATTTTGAGACGGAGTCTTGCTCTGTCACCAGACTGGAGTGCAGTGGCACTATCTCAGCTCACTGCAACCTCCGCCTCCGGGTTCAAGCGATTCTCCTGCCTCAACCTCCCAAGTAGCTGGAACTACAGGCGCGTGCCACCACACCCAGCTAATTTTTGTACTTTTAGTAGAGACGGGGTTTCACTGTGTTGGCCGGGATGGTCTTGATTTGCTGACCTTGTGATCCGCCCGCCTTGGCCTCCCAAGGTGCTGGGATTACAGGCGTGAGCCACTGCGCTCGGCCAAAAAATAATTTTAAACCATTCAGTTGCCTTAAAATAGTAATGCGTGTCTGTCATAGTATAAAATGCAAATAGGTTTTTAAAAAGTGATGAAGTTGAAAGCAAAGCTTCCTCCTTCCCATATCTGCAGGCAGATAATTCCCTTCAGGGAAGCAACCACTGTAACCACCTCGTTTCTTGGTGTTTCCTGAGATAGTGTATGCATCACAAGCATATATGCAAATAAACTTCCTTTTTATTAAATAAATGCACCTTGCTTTTTTTCACTTCACAACGTATTTTAGCATAGATGTTAATTTAGAGCTGCCTCATTCATTTTAGCAGTTATACAGTGTTTCATTGTATGATATAGCATAATTTTTTTTTTACTAGTCCTCTACTGATGGGTATTTAAGTTGCTTCCAACATTTTGTTATTATAAACAATGCTACCACAAATATCCTCAACACTTATGCATTTTGAATATGTGCAGGTATAGTAACTCCTAGAACTAGAATTATTTTTGTCGAAGGATATTTGCATTTTTATTTTGATACTGACGTATTGCTCTTCACAGAGGCTGTATCAATTATGCCTCACTAGCAACGTTATGATTTTTTCTCAGTGCCCTCATTAACACAGCATGTTATCAGACTTTCTGATCCTTGCCAATCTAAGTGAAAAATGGTAATTTATTGTGGTTTTAGTTTGCATTTCTGTCATTGTAAGTGAACATTTTGCATTTTCTCTCTGTGAGCTAACTGGCTGTTCATAATTTTTGGTCACTTTTCTGTTAGAGTGTTGGTCTTTTCCTTATGATTTCTAGGAGCTCTTTACGCATCAAAGAAATTAGTTATTTGTATCAAGTATGACTTGCATATACTTTTTCCCAGACTGTCTTTTGATTTTGTTAATGATAGACTTTTGGGGTAAGGGGAACTTGGGAAGGAGGTTTTTGCTTTTATTATATTATTTATTAATTATTTAAAAAAATTTCAACTTCTATTTTAGATCCAGGGGATACATGTGCAGGTTTGTTACATGGTTACATGATGCTGAGATCTGGGGTATGAATGATCCCATCACCTGGGTAGTGAGCATAGTACCCAGTAGTTAGTTTTTCAACCTTTGCCCCTTCCTTCCCATCCCCCTCTAGTAGTCCCCAGTGTCTATTGTTGCCATCTTTATGTCCATGAGTACCTAATGTTTAACTTCCACTTATAAGTGAAAATATGTGGTATTTGGTTTTCTGTACATGCATTAATTTGCTTAGAATAATAGCCTCCAGCTGCATCCATGTTAGTTTTGTTATATTTATGTAGTAAAATGTTTGGGTTTTGGTTTCTATTTTAAAAGGTTTTCTCTACTAATGCAGGGAAAGCCCAGAATTGGGGCTCAGCCCAGGAGGGTTCTTGGCTTCATTCAGGAAAGGGTTCACGAGCAAAAGCAAGTTTATAGAGCAACAAACTACGGGAAAATGGCTGCTCCATAGATAGAGTAGCAGCAGCAGCTCCCATGAATTGTTGGCTAGTTATATACTTGACAATTCCTTGATTATATGCTAAATAGGGGGTGGGTTATTCATGTATTTTCCAGAAAAGTAGGAAGGGTTCCCAGAACTGAGGGTTCCTCCCTTTTTTAAACCTTATAAGGTAACTTCTAGGAGTTTACAAACATGGCATTTGTAAACTGTCATGCCACTGTTGGGAATTTCTTTTTGCATACTACTGCATTATAATTAATGTGTAATGAGCAGTGAGGGCAACTAGAGATCACTTTTGTTGCCATCTTGGTTTTAGCTGGTTTCTTTTGCTTCATTTTGTTTTGATTAGATTCTGTTTTAATCAGTGGGGCCTTGGTGCTCAGAAAACAGGTCCAGCTTGTCTCCTACCTTACTACTATTAAGATTTTATTTAACTCTCTTTTTATTTCTTGTTTTTATATGATTTTGATTTTTATGCTTAAACCTTTGATTCATCTAAAACTTACTTTGGTATAAGGATCCCACTGAATTAAATTTAGGACTGCAAAATGAAGCAACTGATATTGGAAATGGGGACTTCATTGATTAGTTACATGAGAACCATCCCAAACTGCCGTAGACTTATTATATATTATTGCCCCAGCACCTGGTATGGTACCTGAAATAAGATGAATACTTAATAAATGCTTGATAAACTAAATTGAAGGGAATTTCTGGGTTTATCATCTTTGTTATTAGCCGTTGTATTGATCTGATATGTAGTGTTAAATGACACTACGTGATGGTCATGATGACGATACCACGAACACAGTACGTTTCTCCTGCACAAAATCTAGAGGGTTAGATCCAGGGACTAGAAAAGTTATTCACTCAACAAATAAATAGTAAGCATCACTTATAGGCATTCTAGCTGGGTTCAGGGAGTCAATAAACAAATATGTCATGCCATGTAAGTGCCATGTAAGAATAGAAATAGAGCAGTGTACAGGTTAATAGAGAATGACTAGGAGGGGAGCGCTAGCCCAAGAGGTCAAGGACATTGACATTTTAGTTGTCTTTACTTAATGAGCACAATTTCAAATACAAAGAAATTGAAAGACTGTGGGGATTAAATTTCAGAAGATTACTGAAGGAGAATCATCTGTCTCTAGTTTATGTTATTTTTAAACTAGACCATTAACTACTGGGCAGGATGGACTATACTTTTTAGGTTAATTTTTATAAATATTATGCATACTTAGATTGACATGAATGTTCTTTAAGCAATATAAAGTTTTTAAAAAAATAAACAAATTTGTCATTGCAATAAGAAACTAAAGTTGTTTATGCAATTAAAGCCAAAATTATATTCGGTCTTTGGACTGATGAGCCATGCACTATTCCCTACTTGTGGAAGTCTAGTCACTATTTCTTACAGTAATTTTCAAATAATGCTCAAAGAAACCTTAGTGGGGAAAAGCAGAAGGAACCAGTAGAAAGGTTTGAGGTACTCACTACCTAATTCTTAACAATGGTAACTTTGCTTTTATCTTTTACTTCTTATCTTCCAGATAAAATTACATTTTGAAGTAATTTGAAACCTATGCAAGCTTGTCCAACCCAAGGCCCATGGGCTGCATGTGGCCCAGGATGGCTTAGAATGCAGCCCAACACAAATTCGTAAACATTATGAATTTTCTTGTGATTTTTTTTTTTTTTTGGCTCATCAGCTATTGTTAGTGTCAATGCATTTTATGTATGGCCCAAGACAGACAATTCTTCTTCCAATTTGGTCTAGGGAAGCCAAAAGATGGGACAAACCTGCTATAAAGTCTACCTCACTCTGACCATGAGACCCACCATGTGTGCATAGAAATGATAGGCCAGTTTTAGGAGCATATCACTGGATGTCACTGGTATGGTTTTATTCCATTTAGACATAGAATTGATTGCCTGAATGTGCTGGGAATTAAGTCCCTAGTGGAAACTCACTGATTAAGATAGGGATCTCTTTAATGTATGCAGAATTTTTGTGGATTTGGTGGTTGTATGAAGAATAAGTGAATCTGCCAGAACTTCCTAGTAGCTAAGGTATATATTGCCAAAATTGTCAAGAATTATCAAGCTCTAAATTAGGAGAATAGCATTTTCTTTCAGCCTATTGGTGTCAGAGTCAGTCATTCAGCATTTTTAACGTCCTGATTTATTCTTATTTCTTCCTATATGCTGCATGAAGATGCTTATTACTACCAAAATTTAGGGTACAGGATTATACTTTTTTTTTTTTTTTTTTTTGTAGAATGTGCCTTGATGTTTCAACTAAAGAAAATCAATTTATTATTGAGGTATTTTATTCCATGCAATCCACTTAAATCAGAATCAATTTATATAGTTTTATCACTCATTGAGCTTACATCAATAATGAAGAATATGAGTTGCTGAACATTTCTTCTGAAATGCTATTAGCTTTCTGCAAATGGGTTATAATACCAGAATTGTTTAATTTTAGAGATTATCTAGTAAAATTTGTGAGCACATAGTGAAACTTAGTACAAGCTATATGCTTTAGAAAAAGGTTTTTAGAGGTCTTGGATTTCTTATGTTATGCAGAGCTTGTACATTTGGATCTCCCACTGCTTAACTCGTAGTAGGTTTTCAATACATATTCACTGATTTAAATTAATTCCAAATTTAGTAACTTCATTAATTACAGTAAAAGATTGTAAATAACTTATGAAGCAAAGGAAAGCATTCAAAGATTTCAGATAAAAGAAGTTACAGTTTGGAAAAGTCATAAGGTACTAAGTGAGATTATCTTTTGGATAAAATTACAGGATCTAGTATAATTTGGGGGTTCCACCACTCCTGAAATAAAATTTTCATCTCCTTGCAGATTCCTGAAATGTCTTCATCTGGGAAAACATTGCTGACATTGGTTTAATTTCTAGATATGCTAGTCACATGACCTTGGACAAATCTGTTCCATTTGTATGAGGACAATAATAGTTTCTCTGCAAATTTGTAGTGAAATTAAATGAGACAATGTTTAGAAAATGCCCAATCCATAGTATTCAAAAATTTTATCAATGCATTACAATACTATACCCCTCTATTGAATACTTAGAAAACTAATTTAAAATGCAAAAACTGCTCTTTTGTAGGTACTCAGTCTATTTCGAAGTTTAAATGATTGCAGATTCTGTTCCCATTTTTCAGTTGGAGAGAGGTAATTAACCAAGCAAGCAGTCATTTAACAGTTAAAATATTAAAAACGAAAGTGTATATGCTGGGACAAAGGAAGGCAAAATTCAGCTCTACTAACTTTTAAATGATCGGAACTCCCCATCCCCAACCCCCATGAAGAAAAGGATTTTGGCCAAAAGAACAGGTGTTAACAGCACTGCTTCTACTGATTTATGGAGATTTTTTTTTAAACTAAGTTGAATTTTATTATAAAGATCTTGATTCCCAGAGGATCCAGTAACTGAGACACCTGCACACTTTACAATAAATAAAAGACAAAGGATAACATAAGAACCCATGGTGCTTGTAGTTGTGATTAAGTATATAAACAATTTTTGCAGTAGACTTAATTACAATTAAGAAAATGATTTTGATGCACTGTTTACAACAGCACTAGAGCCAAATCTAGACTTTTAACACTTTTATCATTTTTCGTGTTGAGACTGATAGTGTTTCTATGACAGCAATTAAAAAAAAGGTACATAAAAAAGTGTTAAATCTAGAAGTTTTAAAGCCTCTAGGAACTAGTTACCTATTTTAGACTAGAACTCAGAGTCCGTGCTTTGGCATAACACAAGATAAGCCTTTTGGCTCCCAGGACTGTGCTCTTGGTGCCTTTCCCGTCTGCTGTTTGGCATTGAAATTTTCATTTCATTTCCAACTAAAGAAAACATTTGTATATTGTTAAAGAGTTTGTTTTAATATATTTTTCTTTAAGAGTCTTCAGATGGATTTTAAAATTGAACACACTTGGGATGGTTTTCCAGTGAAGCACGAGCCGGTATTTATCAGGCTGAATCCAGGTGACAGAGGAGTGATGATGGACATTAGTGCTCCATTTTTCAAGGATCCTCCAGCCCCACTTGGAGAACCAGGAAAACCTTTCAATCAACTGTGGGATTATGAAGGTAAGTGGTAGTAGTGTGTTTTATTGCAAACATAAATCTTCTTATAATAACCTCTCACAGAACTACTATTTTATCTTGCTGTTGGGAAGAAAGTGCTTCTGAGCAATTGACATGTACAGTTTCTGATACTTCCTACCAATCTCTCATTCTGACTTTTTCTCCATTACCTATATGACTTTAACTATATAGCTAGAAGAGTTAAAAAATGGCAATTACAAATCCAGGTTTTTTTTGTTTTTTTTTTTTGAGACCAAGTTTTGCTCTGTCGCTCAGGCTGGAGCGTAGTGGCGCAGTCTTGGCTCACTGCAATCTCCGCCTCCCGGGTTCATGCCATTCTCCTGCCTTAGCCTCCTGAGTAGCGGAACTACAGGTGCCCGCGACCATGCCCGACTAATTTTTTGTATTTTTAGTAGAGATGGGGTTTCACTGTGTTAGCTAGGATGGTCTTGATCTGCTGACCTTGTGATCTGCCCACCTCAGCCTCCCAAAGTGCTGGGATTACAGGCATGAGCCACCTTGCCCAGCCACAAATCCAGATTTTTTTATTGCCACCTTATTTTCTTCCTTTATTTCTGTTACCTATGCTGAGAAGAGTTCAAGATTCCTGTTTTGTATTTAAGTGTCTTTAAATTACCACTCTAACCTTATAAATCTTCTTTATGGAAAATTTGGAGTGTTTTACTTATTGTAGAAACACTATCAACCTCAATATGAAATGTAGTTTTTACTTTATACTGGCAACTCATCACACATATCAAATTAAGACATGACATAAAATTACACTGTTTCAGGTTTGCTCTATGATCTCCTGCTGTATCCTAATTAAGCTATCAGATTCATCTTTCTGAAATACTCTTCATGATGCCATTTCCCAGATCATAAATCATTATTATCCCTAGGATAAAGTTCAAACCCTTCCTTTAAGCTTTCAGCATACTTATGAATTGGGCCACCATATTCAGCCAAAGCTCTTAACCTATGTACCTTCTCATTCTATTCCCCCTGCCTCTAATGCATAGTTCAGGATCTAATTCATGTCGCATTTCTTCAAAGAAGATTTTGATGAATCTTCTAGTCAATATGTCTAGTTTATGCCATTTGTAAGCACACATTTTGTCAGTGTTAATTTGTCATATGTTAAATATATATTGTCTTTTATTGATACAAAACTGGTATATTATCCTCTCATTAATGGAATACACACTAATGTGACTTACCTGCTAGAGGCACTACAGACATGAAACTCAACAAATTCTAACCTCAACTCACCTACTTCTTTCATAAACCAGTTCTTTACCTGATTGCCCAATATCAATAAATGGTATTAACAATACATTAAATCACCAAATCTAAAAAATTGTGAGATCTTTCTAAGATATCCCTCTTTGACACTTTGCATTATTTGGATTTATTTACTAAGTCCCATCAGTTTTGCCTCCTAAGTATTCCTCTAACTCAGTATCTCCTCTTCATCCCCACTATCCTTTCCAAAAGTAAGGCTTTCATAGTCTTTTACCTCGATTAGTGCAGAGCCTTCTAAATAGTCTTTTAGCCCTTAAGCCCGTTCTTCACTTAGAAGCCAGAGTGCTAAATCTAAAATGAAAATTTAAACTCACCCTTCAGCTACTTAAAAACCTTCTCAGGATCCTTTCCTCTCAAGGTAAGTTTTGCCCTTCTTAATGTGATCTCTATATAAAGACTTTCCATGACCTGGCTGCTTATTCTCTCTGTAGCACCACCAGCTCCTCCTACATTGAAAGGTTTGCCTAGTAAGACTGAACTGTTCATATAGTTCTTTAAGCTACAATATTTCCTAATTGTGTACCCTTGATTTTACTGTTGTCTTGCCCTAGAATGCTGTTTCTGTCATTCTTCACCTAGTTCCAAATCATCTTTCAAGACAGAGCTTAAATAGCAACTTTTCCAGGAATCCTTCACTAAAGTACTTTTTTTGAGCTAAGCATCTGTTTTCTTTTTTTCTTGTAGCAATGTATGCATCCTCCCTTTGGGAATTTTTATTAAAATTTTCCACATTAGTATCTGATTAGATTGTAAGCTAATAAAGGTATTTCCAGAATCTGATATAGTGTTTAACACAGAGAAGCTGCAAAAGCATTTGTAAGGTGATGATGGAAAGTAGAAAGCAGAAGATATATATGTGCATCTGAGTGTGTGTGTGTGTGTGTGTGTGTGTGTGATATACACACATATATTTATAGTGAGAGAGAGTGTGTGTGTGCGTATGTATGTATATATCTATTTTATATATATGGAGAGAAAGAGAGAGATCTATTTTAAGAAATTAGCTCACACAATTGTGGTGGCTAGCAAGTCCACTCTTCCCTGGGTCTTCAGTCTGCCAGCTGGAGAGTTGATGTTGCAGTTCAAATCTGAATGCTGTCTGCTGGCAGAATTCCTCTCTTGGAGGAGGTCAGTCTTTTTTTCTATGAAGGCTTTAAACTGATTGGATAAGCCCCAGCCACATTATAGAGGGAAACTTGCTCCACTAAAAGTCTGCTGATTTAAATGTTCAACTTATCTCTAAAAAATGGCTTCATAGAAACAACTAGAATAATATGTTTCAAAATATCTGGATACCATGGCCTAGTTAATTTGACAGATACGATTAACTATCACAGTAGACATTCTCATTTATCTAGATAAAAGATTCATAAAGGGACAATAAGATTCTCTGACTTGCTGGCAGAACTATGTCTATATTTTAGCTCTTTTATTATAAAAACAACACATGAAAAACTGGAAACAACCTAAATGTCTATCCATAAAGGATTAAGTGAGTAAGTTATAATATCCTATAAAATAATACTATTCAGTCATTAAAATAGTATGGAGAAGAACAGAAAAGGTCTGGCAGATTTTAGACCAAAGGGGAAGAAAAGGACATGACTTTTTACTTCATATATATATATTGTTTTAATTATTTAAAAGAAAGCTGTATTATGTTCAAAATTAAATTTTAAAAATAGCAATATTCAGAAATTTCCAGGAAATTATAAACAAGAAAAGAAAGATCACCTACCTAAATTCCTGCAATCACAGATATGCAGTCGTTAACATTTTTGTGCACATTTTGAAGACATCTAGACATAGACACACATGAAATTTTAATGTCACACGCATTTTGGTGCTATTCTGCAGCTGACTTATTGAATATCATGGATATCTTCCTATATCAAAAAATATTTAATGGTATCTTTGATTTTAATAGCTGCATTGTATTCCATTGCATGGAATACATGAATTCCATAATTTACTTAACAGTTCTTCTGTATAATAGGAGATTTATTTAGAGAATAAGAGATAATCTTATGTAATAGGAGATAAATCATTTAGATCATTTCTAATTTTTGAACAGTACTCTAATGAATAGCATTATACTTAATTCTTTTCCCAGTTGTCAGATTATTTTCTTCAGATACATTCCTAGAAGAAGATAACTGGCTCAAAGTTTCTGTGATAATATTAATTTCTTTACAACTTGACCAGCACTAGTTTTAATTAATCTTTTCAATATGTGGCAATCTGATATGTGAGAAAATTGTTGATAATTTATTTCCTATATATTTCTTCTTCCAGGCAATGTCTATTTTCTTTGCTCTTTTTCCTATTGCGGATAGTATTATAATTAAAAATAGTCAATTTATTTTATATTCTAAAAGAATAAACAAATTATTTATTGTTGGAAAGCAATATTAAATTTCTCAATATATCTCTGTTTTCAAAAGTTGTGGAAGCATTTTTCTTGAATGATATAACTGAGCAGTATTTAGAAGTTGAACTTTGTCCGTAAGTATAAAATGTTTTTTCTTAATTATTACTACATAATTTGAACATATTATTTTCTAGTTATAAATGATATGGTTTTAGTAAAAGCTCATTAATTCAAATTAACCAGTAAGAATGGTACTCTGAATTTGTTTGAATGATATACTTTTATATATTTCTTAGTTTCAAGTACAGAGCACATATTTAGAATACATGTTTAGAATATACTCATATTCTAAAGATTTGAAAATCCTATGTCAATATTTTCAGTTCAGTAATGTAGATTTTTCTAATAAATTAGAAGATAATTTTTGTTTCAAAATGAAAAGTCATTATAAAACAAAAAGTCTTTCTCATTATTTACTCAATAAATTTGCATTATTATATATAGCTGTTCAGAAATAAAAAGAGAGATATGTATATAATTAATTGAGCTAGCTTATAAAAATGTTTCTTTTAGGGGATTTTTAAATGATTAGATGAAACTTTAATTTTATGTATTACATAATTATGTATTCATGTATTCCATTCTTTATTCATCATGCATTTATTAAGTATATGATGTGTCACTTTTGCATTCAGCACCAGGGATAAAAACTAAATCACATATAGATTTTCTTAGACTCATTAAAAATATTAACCTTGGACTCTCTTTGTTCAGGTTTTTTTTTGTTTTTTAAAAGATTTTTTTCTTATTATTGTACTTTAAGTTCTAGGGTACATGTGCACAACGTGCAGGTTTGTTACATATGTATACATGTGCCATGTTGGTGTGCTGTACCCATTA